AAATGTAAAACCCAAGTACAAGTTTAATGGTTATCTATTGTATGTATGCATTTTGGCTTTCTGTTTTTGCAGTAAGTTATGTGGTCTACAAACCCTGAAAAGACAAAGAAATATAGTTCTTTCTTGGTCCTTTCTTTCAATGATTCACTCCCACCGTATATCTCCAGGTCAAATCTTGACTTTAACTAGTTGCATCACTTCAGTTTCCCTCATTAGCACATGACAGCCGCTGTTAACGCTGTCTCTCTGTCACTTTCAGGGTGGCAATGCCTTTTGGTGGGTTCAACAAGGCACCGAGACATACGCCTGTCACGCCCCTCCAGGTTGAGTCCCTCTCGGAAGTGCCGCCGCTCCAGGAGGATGGTTCCGTTAATAGGCCCTCCTTCAACAGAGCAGCTTTGGGATGGGTTTCGACGAGTGGTCCTGTCGCACTTCCAGCTGCTTCGCTCGAACTGGTGGTCATCCCTGAATCAGAGGACCTTTGAACCCCTGAAGAATCGCACAGGGATGCTTCACCAAAGGTTGTTATAATGAATTTGAGCAAGAGAGATGTTGAAGAAGAAGTGCTTTGTTGGATAGTAGTTCAGGTTATCATTGCTTTTCCCCCCTTCTTTTTCTGCATTGTTAACGTTTGCACTAAAGGTAAAATAATATATAACATTGTACAGTAATGTTTATTCATGTGCATAAGTGTGTTTAACCTTGCAGTTGCAATGTTTTTGCTCAATAAAGTGGTGCAGATTGCATCTCTTTTTTTATTTTCTTTTGATTTCAGGCCTCTGACTTTGTTTCTGAGATCAGTTTTCTTCAGGCAAATATTCTAGGCACGAATATTTCCAGGGATGTCCTGATCGAGATTTGTGTCATGGAAGATTCAAGCAGGAGCAGAAAAAAGCATGACACCAGTCTTTGACACATGTACCAAAATTATTTTCTTAGTAGAGGAATGAATGTTTCAAGAAGTCTTTTCCAGCCTTTTTTTAAAAGATCTTATTCCGTTCATGTGAGTAAACTCAATCCACAAGTTAAATCCACTTTTTTAACCACAGCTTTAGATTTGATATCTGGAGCATGAAGTTGTACATGTAGGCGTAGATTTGTCCTGTGTGCGTACTTTACAGCACAAACTGGACCAATTAAAATGTGGAAGGATGACCCACACCAGTGCGTCATGTATAAAGAACACTTTAGCAAAGTGTTGGATATTAGTCATGTGCAACTGTGGTCTGTAAACAAATAAAGTAATGTTATTACATTAGCAGTTTTCTTCTGGCAACTCATTTGACTCTTACACATTGAAAATAGCTAGTTAGCTAGAAGCTACAAAGTGAATTATTGCCATCTTAAAACAACTTCAGTCTCAAAAATGCCATGCAGTTCACGTGAATGCCATTTCATGTACTTGTACACGACATTGCGTTCACATTAAACTGGTATTTACGAAGGATTCAATTATATTTTGCCAGGGAAAATAGTGGCAGCTAGCCGCTAGCTGTAGCCCTTCCAATGCAGCCTGTGGCGCTCCCAGCAGGAATATCTTATTATTTCTGCCAGAATAATTATGTCATATGAAACAGATGGCTGTGTAAAGGTTTATAAACGGTGTTTCTCAAAATTACTATGGTTTGGAGATTTTGAGTTGTTTCAGCGCAGCAGCAAACGTTGGTCTTGGCTCTGTTTGGACGAAGTGTTAGCTCGTTAATCTAGCCAAGATTAATTGTTTTCTCTCAACTGAAATCTACAGCAGGTAAGATATTAACTGTTTATACTCTTTCAACATAAACCTTTTAAACAATTTGAACTTTTGCATCAAGTCTTGTCAGGCTGTTGATTTTCGGTCATCCAGGACATGTAAGAATTTTGTTGCCATTTTCCAGTAAAGGCAACAGGAAGTCTGCTTTTTTTCTAAAATATGTTTTGCTTCTCATTTGAGGAGATTTCCCAGTTCAGACTTCAAACCCAATGCAGCACAGAAAAGCCTGCTCTTTGGGGCAAAGATAAACGGTCCAACAACATGTTCTGAAGAAAACCAACACTTTTGAGGGCAATAATGTTCACATTTTCATCAAAGAAGATCAATGGTTGTAGAGGCGGTGAAGGAAGCCGTTTACGCCACACAAGAAATACCAGCTTCAAACAGGAGAGAGGACCTCAGCTCCTACAGTCCAGTTTTGCACAAATTCACACTTTCATGTTCATGACCAAAATATCTCTCATGTGCACCAGGCTAACAAAGACCCTAATGACCCTCATAAGGGCAGGGAGGGAGTGGGAATTGAATTACCATATTTTTCGCCCTATAAGTTGCGTTTTTTGCATAATTTGCATACCCTGCGACTTATATGCCGAAGCAACATATTTATGGATTTTTTCCCATATTTATAAACCAATTTTTGGCTGATATATGACCGTTTTCATTCATTCTGACTGAAAATATTGAACACTACCATTTTCAGCCACTAGGTGGCACTCAAGTCGTATGGCATGCCATTGTGTCATGTAATAGGTAAAAGTGGCTATTAATGACACAATTGGCTGGCCACAGCCTGCCACCTTCGTTCAGCTCGCTTGGCGCAACCGTCAAATCAGCTTCATTTTGCTGCACCGCCCCGGCGAAATGCAGCTTATTTGACCATTAAAGTGCATTTATTAAGTAAAAGTTCAACTGAGGCACACCTTTACTATAAAGTCAAGCAAACAAATAATTGTTTTAGGTGTTTAACTTGTTAAATTTCGAAGAAATGCACAGCGACTCGTCCCTCTGTGCGTTCCTACCTCCACGTATCGGCTTTTGAAATGCAGCTGATGTGACCGTCAAAGTGCATTTATTAAGCAAAAGTTAGACTGAGACACACCTTTACTATAATTGTGAACAAACAAATAATTGTTTTTAAGTGTTAATCTTGTTAAACTCTTGTTAAAGTCTTCCCGTGCACACTCCCGCAGCCACCATTTGGCAGCCAATCAATTTTTGGCACAACACGACCCACATTTCCAAGTTCGGCCCATATTTCCAGGTTGTCAGTGGTGACGCGTAACAAACACGATGCGTCAGCGGTGACGCATAATAGATGAGACGTGTACGGCGAAGAAACGCATTAATGGATTTTTCCACTTTTATAGACATATTTGGACTGATGCGACTTAACGTGTACGGCGGAAAATACGGTAGTCTATCTCTGATAAACAAAGCACGTCATTTCGGTTTTCATTTATTTGGGAAAGCTCTTTGGATGAGAAGCAAAACATTTAAATAAATAAGTGAAGTGAAACTATAAATAAATGTGATTTATTAGAAATAGGCACACCAGACACAAAAAAATCCCCCAGACTGACAGCACATACATCAGATAATTTGCCCTTAAGGTAACAATGTCCATTGTCTACAACTGCTGCTCCTTAGAACGAAGGCCACATTTCTCAGCAGCTTGGGATGTTTTCTTCTTTCCCAAAACTGAATTAGGAAATGCTCCTCGAATTTCTCAAAGGCATATGACTAAGTCCAGCGTCAGCATTCCTCGCCTCTGTCAGAAGGCCTCTGGAATGCATGACTCCTGGTGCCACTCCCATTTTGACTCCTACTGAATTCCTCCGGCCGGCCTCCTTCAGGAAAATTGTGTGCAGCAAACCACTGGCAGCACAGTGCCAGCAGCAGTGCCAAGTACCACCGAAAATATGGAGCACTGTTTATTACAAGGAGGCATGAACTCTCACTGAACTTTGAATAGCAGAGGTTGTATTCAAAATGTGGCAATGGAAGGATTATTAGCAGGGACCGTAGCGTCGGCTGAGCGTTGAGAAGCCAGATGATTGGCTAATTATTCTCAAAGTGCTTGTTTTCCTCTGCGCGCGATGCCAAAGAATGACTTGAAGATGAATTACTGTTTGCACCTGGTGCTTGCTCAGAACAACAGAAGGAAGAGGTTTTAATTTATTTTGAAGAATCAACTCTTATAGAGTACTTAAAAGAATAAGTAAAATATTTTGAAAATGGATTTTGTATAAAGGTTATGATCATAGCTGTTGTAGATTTGAAAGACATGCTTGGACAAAAAAAAAAAAGGGTTTATTTCTGACTAGACTGATGAGCTCATGGCTAGTCAGACCAGGGCCAAGACCAAAGTAGATTGATGTTGTTTAAAACAGCTTCAATATATTAAAATGTATACAGATGTTCATGTGAACACTATTTTATGCACCTTTACACAGCTGTCAATTTCATATTACAAAGTTATTTCAGCAGAAATGTTATTTTGCTCCCAAAAGTGCCCCAGGCTGCAATGGAAGTGCTACAGCTAGCTGCTGCTACTAATAGCATTTACAAATAAACAGAATTTCATGTGAATATGTAATGTAAACCTAAATTTTTATCTTTTGACCCACAAAGTAACTAATGGGAACTTGACATCAACCATAAGGATCCTAACACAGGAGTACCGCAGGGCTGTCTGCTCAGCCCACCCCGTTTAACCCTCTTCATCCAAGACTGTTCCCCTGCCCACCTGCCTGAAACCCTAATTTGACCGCTGTGGTTGAACTCATCAGTGACAAAGATCCCTGTGATAGGTAGGAGGTTCAACATCTGGCTGAGTGGTATTTGGACAACAGTCTGGTCCGAAGCGCCACAAAAACAGAGGAGGGTGTCATAGACTTCACTTAGGAAGAGGTGAGAAATGTTAACTTCATTAGGTTCCTGGGAATGAATATAACTGAAGACCTTACCTGAACTCTAAACACCTCCAGCATGGTGAAAAGAGCTGAGCAGAGACTCTTCTTCCTGAGGAAATGACAGTAAACCGTGAATTTTGAACCCTTTTGACGCCAACCATCACTGTAACAAGATAAGATAGAACTTTATTGAGCCCGCAGGCAATTGCCGAATGTACAAATATAGATAATACCTGTATATCCAATAGACAAGGAAACATCCATCCATCCATCCATTATCTTTACCCGCTTATTCCATTTTGGGTCACGGGGGTCGCTGGTGCCCATGTCCAGCAATCACTGTGCGAGGGGCGGGGTACACCCTGGACGGGTCGCAAGTCCATCACAGGGCCACATAGAGACAAACAACCATTCACTCTATCATTCACACCTAGGGACAATTTAGAGTTACCAATCAGCCTAACATGCATGTTTTTGGTCTGTGGGAGGAAACCGGAGTACCCAGAGAAAACCCACGCGTGCACGGAGAGAACATGCAAACTCCACCCAGAAAGGCCCCTGGACCGGGGTTTGAACCAAGGACCTTCTCGCCGAGAGGCAGCAGCTCTACCAGTTGCGCCACCGTGCTGCCCGACAAGGAAACAATCTCAGGAAAAACTCTTAACTACTGTGGTACATTTTTTGAATAAACTTAATGGTACTGTTTATAACTTTTGTAACAATTATAGGGAAAACATATTACCAGTCATTCTTACATTTAATTTGATTACAAAAGAATATCTGATGAACCCTCAACTTATTCTTGGTCATCACAGTGGGGTTTTGCATTGCACAAATATTTGGACAAAAATATGATACATAAAGGTAGTACACTG